GGCCGAGAGTATCCTCGAGCCAGGATTTAGTGGACATCCCCGGGAGGCGATCTTTACAGCCGTTGTAAACTTTTAATCCCGCGTTGTATTTCAGCGAGGGTCAACGCGTCGATCAAGCCGCGGGACAAGGAATATCATCGCGAGGGGGGCCCTGTTAGGCTATACGTACCTGGACACGCGATTTTACGGCCTCCCGGTGACCTCGTAAACTCCATCCGCCTCGAACACAACGCCGGGCACAGTTCCAAGAACCGGTTGCTTGTCACCGACCGTTTAACCCTTTGTTTCCCGCGATTATTAATTGACAATTCCATTTTATATTCAACGGGACGGTCCGTTGCCGGGGAACGTGTCGCTGACAGGACCGTCGTCCCGGTCGTCCGCCATTTTTATTTCGCTTTTCGCGACAGGACGGAAATATTGTCCAGCGAATATACCGGCCGGACGGTTTTTTTTTTGGGAAGACAAATGTCGGTCTCGACGAATAAAGTCGCTTGCCGGTGTGGACGCTGCTTTCGAATATAAGGGACTTCGATTTTATGCGATCGTGACCGCCACGAATTGTCCGCGATCGTCTATGTACGAGTGATTTTTATTTTCTTCGAAACTGCAATGAATTGATTTGAATTTGATTGGTGGAAAGAACGGCGAGAGAGAATCGTACATTTCGTTCTAATGAGATGTGTAAACATTGACTGTAAAATAATATGTTGACATTTTTTACAAAGCTTCTACAAATACGATCTTACATTTGTTAATTACGTATTTTGAGATCGTTGATCTCTGATCTATAATTCTAGAGAATTTTTAATATAGCGTATGCTGGCAGTTCGACAAACTTGAGTTGCAATTTTTCTTTTTTCAGCAAGCTGCTACGTATTGATCGTTATACATTTGAAAATTTAATTTATATTTTTAGTATAAACGACTACGCTGGCTTCTATATATTTATTGCAATTTAATTTAATTTAAGTGCACTGATTTGTATAAATTTTAATTCCATACAAATCAAGAGCACTCGTTTTCATTTAAACCAAGCTTGAATTCGTATAATTGATGTGTATTATATAATACTATTATATACGAATGATTTTTATTTTATTCGAAACTGCAATGAATTGATTTGAATTTGATTGATGGAAAGAACGGCGAGAGAGAATCGTATATTTCGTTCTAATGAGACCTGTAAACATTGACTGTAAAATAATATGTTGACATTTTTTACAAAGCTTCTACAAATACGATCTTACATTTGTTAATTACGTATTTTGAGATCGTTGATCTTTGATCTATAACTCTAGAGAATTTTTAATACGGCGTATGCTGGCGGTTTGACAAACTTGAGTTGCAATTTTTCTTGTTTCAGCAAGCTGCTACGTATTGATCGTTATACATTTGAAAATTTAATTTATATTTCTAGTATAAACGACTACGCTGGCTTCTATATATTTATTGCAATTTAAGTGCACTGATTTGCATACATTTTAATTCCGTACAAATCAAGAGCACTCGTTTTCATTTAAACCAAGCTTGAATTCGTATAATTGATGTATTACATAAAATAAGAGAAGCTTCTGTCGATATGATCCAACGTTCGTCGATACTGATATATTTTTATACAAACGAATTTAAAGGTCGTTCCGATCGAACTAATTATAACTGTGTCAGAAGCAGGCAGTTTTCACACACTTAAGCAATTAAATTTTGTAATTCATTTGGATATTTATACAATATAAATGGAATAATCGTTTTAGTATGAAACATTCGATCTAATTTCGCCTGAAACGCGGACCAAGCTCGAAACGTATTAAAAATTAAGCTTAAATCGGAATCTTTATACGCGTTATACGCGATCCGAGGGAAATCTATCAATAGCGGATTTTTCTGATGAATCAAATTTGATCGCGGTTCACAATTTTGAACAACCGTTTTAAAACGGTTTCGCACATATTAACCGGTAAGTCGTGGCACAGCCCAAAACTGTTCGATCGAATTTCAATTTCAACCGAATAAAATCTGAAAATAAACTGCACGAAAAGCGAACGGCTCGAGCGTTCGGACAGTTCAATTTTGAGTCTGCGTTTTTGGCTGGTTCAACACGAACGAATGGAAAGATCGCGTCTGGCGGAGCTCGGAACGGGCCGGCAACCGAACGAGCGGATTAATCGATCATCGAAACAATTTGTCAAGATCACCTGAGTCCGGTGGAAAAGAAGCGAGGCTAACAGCGTAGTGTCCCGTTGATTAAGTAGTTTTAAATGAAAGTTTGACGGGGCCTGGCACGTGTGCCGGGTACCAGGGCGTCAAGACTCGGTTGTTCGATCGATCCATGCTGAAATGGAGAGACGAAGGAGACGACAAAGAGACCCAGAGGGTGATAGACAGAGAAAGAGAAAGAGAGAGAGAGAGGGAGTGAAAGAGCGACCCGGGTTCGCTCAGTGGGCCACACGTGAACAACACAATGGTTCAGGGTTCAATGCGGCTGCGGCTGACATTTAACGAACCGAATTAAATAATGATATAAATCATTTTATAGAAGACCGTCGAACCGATGCTGCTCGAAGAATTGACCGATATATTCAAAGGTTAGGGGCGAGGAAACGTAAATTCATGCCGGTGGCTCGACAAGCCCTTTCTCTTTAACCGGGAGTAATGCTTTCTTCGATTATGCTTGCTGATCCCCGTGCACGCGGGTTTAGTTAGCATAAATACTTTTTTCGAGGATACAAGTTTTGCCACATTTAATTTCTGTCGTTTTCAGTTGCTTCTTAGAAATTATGAACTTACAAAACGACATTTTATAATCGTTTGCTCTCGCGTTTTAAATGTATGATTTTTCTTTGTACGATTCGACAAAGTTTCCGATCGCATAATTAATGGACTGCGGATTTTACGAATTTATGAACAAAATTTTACAGCTGAGATGGTGAACGACGAAAATGTTTAAACAATTTAACGGCGTGTACGTACATTATTTTCAACTCACCGAAATTAGTAAAGAAAAGATAAGATTTCTGTTTGACGCTTGTTCGTTGCAATTGATGAAAATAATTTTTATTTTGCATAGAGATCCGCAGTCTAATAATTAATATTTAACGCATTGACTATGACTTTTTTTTAAAGAATAAACTGGTAAAATATCGCATAGTTCTCTGCAGAATTATGCTGTCAATGTATTTCTGTATTTAAGGTTGTTAGAAATACATTGACAGCATAATTATATTATATAACTATAAATAAATTAATAGTATAACAATATTATTGTAAATAAAATATAATAATAATAATAATATAAATAAAATTACAATATTAATTAATATTATGTACAAATTAATATTATATAACTATATATATATATATATATATATATATATATATATAGAGAGAGAGAGAGAGAGAGAGAGAGAGAATATTATTCGAGTAGCGTCCGAATATTTCATTTTCAAAATTTGATTCACCTTATAAAAATATTGCAAGCACTTTGAATGACTGCGAGTCGTCGGAATATTCATCGAATTTATCGTGTTGCTAACAATTTGTTGGTAATTTTATCATCGATTTTGCAATGTCGCGTACGACAAGAGAAATATCGAAATATGTTAATGCAATGGTAGTGTACGTAATAGAACTATCAGATTCGATTCATTGATTCGCGATCCCATGCAGATCAGTATAATTGAAGCCCGGCGTCATGCGTCGATGCATCCGCGTCCCTCGATAGACTGTCAAGCTGTTCGATCTATTAAAGCAAATCGCATAAATCACCCGCAGTTACGCAATGATTAATCCGATTCTAGCAGGCATTTGGTATACGCGATTCATGCGTTTCCCTATAGCCCGAAGATTTTCGTAATCTGCAACAATGAAATCGTTCGGAAACTAACAGAATTGATGAGCGACCTATTTTCCTGATTCAGTTCATTATACCGATCCGACGTGATCGCATGAAATACCTCGACAATGCAAAGATTTTGATAGGATGCAGCAATAAAATCATTTGGTAATTGACAAGACAAATAAGATCGATTTCCTTGATTCGATATACTGTGTCAATCTATTTTCACTCGTTACTGGACCGCGGATTTTATGCATTCATATCCAGAAAGGAGTAGCTCGAATACAAAACCGTGAAGACAGGAAGAATTTGATAATACTGTTACGTTATTTTCAGCTTATCAATATTGTCAAAAAAGCAAACACATTTTCATCAAACTTTCATTTCCTATAATTAAGAGCATAAGCTCGAATACAAAACTGTTAAGACAGGAAGAATTTGATGATACTGTTACGTTATTTTCAGCTTATCAATATTGTTAAAAAAGCAAACACATTTTCATCAAACTTTCATTTCCTATAATTAAGAGCATAAGCTCGAATACAAAACTGTTAAGACAGGAAGAATTTGATGATACTGTTACGTCATTTTCAGCTTATCAATATTGTCAAAAAAGCAAACACATTTTCATCTAACTTTCATTTCCTGTAATTCAGAGCTTAAGCTCGAATACAAAACTGCGAAGACAGGAAGAATTTGATGATACTGTTACGTTATTTTCAGCTTATCGATATTGTCAAAAGAGCAAACACATTTTCACCTAACTTTCATTTCCTGTAATTAAGATCTTTTTATTTTCCACAAAAAATCCGCAGTCTGCTCGTTACGTGGGCATGAAATTATTTGCTGTTGTCTCGAATTCGTGGGTATCGCGAAAACCCTGGAAAGCACAGATTTTAATGGTGTGCGGCAACAAAATCGCACGCGAATGAACGGGATCGGTGCGCAATCAATTTTCCTGATACGGTTCGCCGCAGCAATCTTCCGTAATTCGTCTATTTCGATTAGAACGATTTGCTACAATCGATTTCAAAGATTTCCCCAGCAGCACGCGCAATTAAAACAGCATTTGGAACGGACAGATTAAAACGATGGTCGAATTTCTCTGTTTCGCTATATTATCATAACGTTTATTACTGTCCCCGGTATCACGAACAACACTCACCTGGACGTTGCAGGAGAAGAATCGCCTGGATGCTCCCGTGCACCTGTTGTAGCCATTGTCGCTGCAACAATAAGACGTTTTTATAACGACTAAACCGGGCTCCTCTAAAGCGCTGTAAGGTCGGAGGAACAATAAGAAACAAAGTCCTGCAGCTCCGCGGGTACCGTATCTTCCGCTGGATAATAATATTTCAACGGGAACGTTGCAGGGGAGCTTTCGAAACAGCAACTCGCCGTACCGTTTTCTCCGTACCTGTCCACTTAGAACGGCCGTTAACCAGAGGATTTCTGAATAATTGAACGGCTCCGGCGATGACAATTTAGCAAAAAATTTCTGGCAATCCGAATTGGAATTTTCCCCCCGTGCGTTCGCGTTTTATAAACTTACAGATGGTTTTCGGCTTACAATGGCACGCGCGCCATTGTTACGACGACAAAAGCAATACCAAATACGAGGCTCGATAATTAAAAAGTCAACGAAATAAACGTACCGAATCATTTACCAATATTTCCGCGAATGGGCAACAATGGGCTACGGATTTCTATACGATGTAAAAAGTGGATTATACGAGACAGAAATCAAATAGAAGTCTCTTTCAGTAATTTGAATGAAGAACAAAATCGATATCGATACTCTTAAATGCTTATGATCTTTCCGTTGTTTGAAATTGCACGTACATGTTATTGTGTCGGAAGCATACAATTCTCCGATTCATTGTCAAGCTTCGTGAGCTACCATAAAATAATTATACGATTGGTCGAGCGATTCTTTTGTACACATTATAACTGGACCGCGGATCTTTATGCAAAATAAAAATTGTCCAAGTTAACACGTTCCGTGCCGAGCTTTTTTTACTCGAATCTTCACACTTTGATATTTTACTAAAACTTGATGTATTACGTGCAATTATTAATTCTCGTACACATAACAACGTAACAAAAACTTATCAACGCCCATTCTTGCGGTGGAAATTGATTCTTCGGTTCTAAATTTCTTGTAAACAATTTGTTCAGTTCACTAAGTAAACATGCAAGCGTGTACCATCGATGGTACACGTGGCACGGAACGTGTTAATTGTACGATATATAAATTGAAAAATAATGTAACAATATCCTCAAGTTCTTCTAACATCTTTTCAGTTTCGCGTTCGACCCACTCGTTTTCGTCTCAATTTGCAGAAAATTCGCGATCCAATTATAATTGTAATCTCGTGCTTAGAACGATTGGAAGAAAATTATGCATTTCATAATTTCCGCAGAGGCGGTGAAAACTGGATGAACTTTTATCGGATATACGTGGAACGGTTGAAAAAGGGATCGAGTGTTTATCTCTTTCACCGCGGCCTTCTTTTTTAGAATGCATTGTCAACGATGCACGAACAACCGGATCGTTTCCTGTTCCACGGCGTCGCGTTAGCAGTTCGATTCTAATCTCGATTACGAGCGCCGCGCCGTCGATTTTGCATCGAAACGCGGCCGGTATCTCTAATCAGGAATTCACACTCCGTTAAATCGCGCATCGGCCGCGCTTCCTCGTTAACGAGCTTCTTCCGATGAAAACTCGAAGGAAAAGTGGAGCGACCGGTTCTCTTTTTTTTTTGTCCCCTAAACCCGCCGACGCTCCTCCCACGTGGCGAACGGGGGAGAATCCATGGAGGGAAAAACGCGGATCCACTTCTCAATAATTCGCGTCGCTTTCGGTGAAATTACGTTTGCAGGGATAGCGGCACGTCCCGCTGAAATTTTCATGCGGAAATCTATCTCCGGAAATGTAACATGCCGGCGTAACACGCTCGTAAAACATGGACAAAACCGACCTCCCATCTTTCTTTTTTTCAGGCTCACCTCGGCCGCTCGTTCGGAATTCATTTATTCGTCGGCCGTGACGCGTGTTCGATCGGAAGAGCTTCTTTATCCATAAGTAATATTGAACGGCTCTCCGATAACTATGGTTTAGATCTAGATGGTGCTTATTTAGTTATAGCATGTGCGAAATCACGCGTAAACCCAGTCGCATCCAGGGTGTCCCAAAATTATGCTACTTCCGGCAAATCACGGATTCCTGTGGTAATTTGAAACAACTTTTTCCTTAGCGAAAATGCAATCCGCGGCTTCGTTCACGAGTTATCAACGAAAAACAGTGACCAATGAGAGGGTAGTTCAGTTGACGCGTGGTGGCCGAGCCAATCAGCGGATCTGGGCTTCGACCGCTCGTTGCCGCCTCGCGCCAGCCAAGCTCGCCTCTCATTGGTCACTGTTTTTCGTCAATAACTCGTAAACGAAGCCACGGATTGCATTTTCGCTAAGGAAAAAGTTGCTTGAAATTACCTCAGGAACCTCTAATTTCCCGGAAATACCATAATTTTGGGACAGTCTGTATAACGTGTGAGAATTTATGTATGAATCTATTCATATACATATATCAATCAAAAATATTTAGCGTGTCTCTTTTATTTTTAACATAAGATAATTTTCTGCTGTCTATTATTTAGAGTAATATTATATAGATTGTTAGAATTGCTTTATAATACAACGCAACGCGCCTTAAAATGATTGATTTATCGCGCAGACTAATTATTATTTTTAAATACTTTGTCTTAATAATATTGAATTATTGTTCTAACTTTGCTATTATTTTGCGATAACCGCGAAATATGAAACACTGCCGGCGTCGATATTTGCTGCAAGTAGAAACAGCCTGCAATAGACAGACACGCCAAAGCATATTTTCGATCATTTTCTACGACTTGTAGCATTAAACAAGCAATGTTCATTGCATGAAGAGATATTATACAGTAACGCTGGAAATTTATATAAAACTCGACAATGTATAATAAAAATTCGAATATTTCTTCATTGTTTTTGCTGGTATAAACGAGTTCCTTGTTCGGCAAATTTTTATTTAAATATTTTAATATTACGGATACAATGAGCGGATTGAATGCTGAAATTTTCATAGCCCAGTGTCATGAATGCGGCATTCTGTTGTTCTCGGTCCGACGAAATTAAAATATCAATTTTTAGCAGTCCTTCCTCGACTGTAAATATACGTACAATGTATCTCGATAACGAAACCAATTTTAAAAAATCGTCGACGATAGACGATCAATTTTACGATAAACTGTTCGATTGTCGAGCAGAATATCGATTCAAAAATATTATAATAAAAACGTAATAATACCAATTACTGACACAAGTAAAATACTAATCTTTCGAACTTAATAAACCTCGCGTGATCATTTTCACAATAAAATATTAGACCATTAAATGCAGTTCGATGCGGAATGCAATTATAATACGTATTTTCACCGAATAATCTGGAAATCAGCTCCAATGTTCAGAATTCAAACGAATTTAATATGAGAAATGGAAGGGATGATTTAACACAGTGAAATGTTTATGATATCTCACGTTTCGAATTTAAAGGACATTTCATTGAAAGTTTATATACGCCGGTAATAATTCGGGGCTTTAGTGCTCCGAAAGCAGCAAACTACACCTGTCGCATTAGCGTCGCGTTCGCCATCGTCGTGTCAAGATATTAACCTAATAGCAGGCCCGAGGGAATTAATATCGATAAGCCAGTCGCCGATGCTGCGTCTCGATATCGTAAATTGAAAAGAGCTATAAACCCGGCACGATCGGACCGCATTCTATGCGATCGACCGTGTCTGACCTATGACACGATCTACCCGATACCACAAAATTATTCCCTGCGCTAAATGCTCATCCGACGCGATTAGCTCGAACCTCGTCGCTTTCTAGAACCTCGTCGAACGTGTTATTACCAACGGATTCACTCTCGATTTTGCGGAATCCGATTTTCGCAGATTCTGCGATTTTCTTCGCCGACTTTTACTTGTGAAAGGCGCCTCTCAATTCTGTATCCACGAACAGCACTGTTATTACGCGTTTACGGTAAAAGTGCATACATTTTACTTTAATCCGTCACATTGTCTATTAATCTTTAACGTTTATACTTTTTTTCAATTAATCTTTAACTTATATATCCTTATCTTTTGATCTTTAAACATTATTAATTATAGTCACATTAATCTACAACCATTATATTCTTATTTTTTAAACTCTAATCTTTTAACTTTCCTTGATATTAATCTTTATTCTTTCTCTACTTTCATTAATATTAATCTTTAATCTTTTTCTAACACTTTTTATTCTTTATAATTTTATATATCAATCTGTAGGCTTTATATTTTTATCTTTCAAACTTCTAGATGTCTAGATTCGTGTAACAGATTTTTCTTTCGATTTTTATAATATGATAAAATATTTTATAAAATATTTGCTGATCGATCAAGCTTGCTTTTCACATTTATAACGACGATACAAGCCGCATGATAAATAAACGATGCCAATATTGATTGCAAGTGAAAACAGTCAGGAAAATACAGACACATTAGTCAGACAGATTAAAGAGCATATGTTCGACGATTTTCTCAATCTTGCAATAAGTAAATAAATTATCGTTGACAGTGTTGAACGGTCTTTCTACATGCATTCTCTTCAATTGCAGGATAATTTTGTAAATAGTCTAGATAAAAGTATAATTCTCAGTGAACACACACACTTCGACAATCAAGAACTTCCTTCTAATTATGTTACAAATACTATTTTATACAAAAAATTTCTCTAAAAGGTTAATAAAATGAAATTAAAAAGTTCGATGCATCTTTTAAATGAAAGAATTAAATGAATTCATGTGCGAACAAATCAAATGAGGTCATACATGAAAAGATTAAATGACTTCATATATCAACATATTAAATGACTTCACATATGGATGCGTTGAATGAGCTCATATATAAATTAACTGATTAAATTCACAATTCAATGAACTAAATTCTGTGCTTCGGTACGTGCTAGTTTCTTCATAATTAATAGTTGGACATTATAAAAGTTGGGCATTATTATAGAGATAGAGTAAGCGGAAATTGTTATTTACGAATGGTTTTAAATAATCCGTCGAGACTGAAGATCGAGCCACAGGTCAGGACCGCGCGAAAATTCCGGAGATAGCGATCCACGACAGAAAGCGAAATGGGTAGTCGAGCTTAATCTTGGCCCCGGCCAGTAGATAAGGAGGATTTACCGCGATCTCATCGGAAGTTTCGTCGGTGCGTCAAAAATTCTTGTAAAAGAGGCCCCGAAGCGTGGAAACCTCACCTGCGCGAGATTGAATTTAAGGAAACCCATTTCCGCGGGAGATGACGGAGTAAAAAATTAATTTTCCATTAGTCCACCCTAGGAGCATTTAGTACGTCCGCGGAATATCAAATTTCTTATTACCGCCGTCTTCCTCGCTCTTTTCCTAATTAATATTAACACGACACCTGTCCAACCGACCTCCGAAAATAATTATTAAAATTTCGAGTTCACAAGCTCTGATCATTGAATTTGCAGCTACAACAGTCGATTAAATAGCACAGCATGAATATGAAATAAACAATCTCGTAACTTAATTAGAAATTCTCATTGACGAATTTTTAATTAATCAGCACGTGCCTCTCTTGTTTTCCAATTTAATCAGCCTCTTGGTATCGAGAAGCAAGATTGAAACAAAATTATTTGCACGATTCGCTAGTAACAAAAAAAATTACTTGATACAGGTGAACTTTTATAAGTCACTGACGAGATGAAACAAAATGAAAAAGTTTGAAATTTGACGAACTTTTACGGCAATACTCATCGGAAAATCGTCAAGCTGATAAAAATATCCTGATGCCTGATTAACAGACTGCGGATTTTATGCGTTTATAGCAAAATCGAGTAAGCGAAGGAGCATTTTAGGAGCGCTTTGGGAGCATTTTAAAATACTGTTGAACAATCATCGATCTACATAAATTTTGAAAATGGAAAATAAATTTTTATCTAACTACCGTTCGTTACAATGCAGACAGAACATTTTTAATTCGCATAAAAATCCACATTCCGATTAATCCTTATCAAGCAGCATCCGAACGTTCCATCGAAGCTGCAGAATAATCTGATAAATCGTTAAGAGCTTTCTCTGGGGGGATAATACGGTGGATGCGATGATGAACTCACTCTATATCGAGACACTGTCTAGTCTGATGGGAGACGCCGCCTCCGCAGGACCTGGAGCAGGAACTGGGCGTCGACCAAGGTCCCCAGGTTCCCCTTTCGGGTTCATCCGTGTCGAGAACGGAGCTGCTGTGCAGGTAGCTTTCGCCGTGCTGTCGCCGGTGTCTCTCGTGCCTAAATTTTGCATGATGCTGGAACAGAAAAGTAAAAGGAATGATTCATCGCGTCTCCTCCGTCGCCGGCGTCTAGGAAACTGGATACTGCGGGAATATCTGCCGTGGGAACGCGAAAGATTTCACTTGGTAAGTGGTCCCTTGTTTATTTGCAGCCTACCTAGAGCCAGACTGTACAAAGGGTACCATGGGTGACCTTCGTTCGGAAGAGCGTAGGCGTGATCGCCTTATCAGCCGCGCTCGATAAGGCGCGGGCTTTTAGCTGTGATGAACTGCGGTCGAGACGGGGGTGAAAACGTGAATTACGTTATCGTACGGCGAGAGCATATTTTCGACGAATTTATGGTTGCAACGTGCGTTCAAATAGATAGATCGGTGCGCGTCTGGGAATGATGTTGCTTTCATGCCGAACGAATTCATCGCGATCGTTCAACGGAAAAGGTTTATCGATATTTCTGAAAGTTAACGTTCACTTTGCAGACGTTCAGTGACCGAAGAATTTTTCGTACATCGACGCTGGAAAGCGTAAATGGCAGAATGTTTCACTCGCATAATTCAGAAAGTTGGATCAGACCCAAACGAAGCTGTACATCCCAAGATCTTCGGTGACAGATATGATGATTCAAAGTTTCCTGGATTGGGGGCACATGCTGCATGCATTTTGGGGATTGGTATCAAAGTCAGGGTCAGTCCGACAAAGATTAGACTCTAAAACCTTAAAATCGAAAGACCTCAGAATCTCGGTACTTTGAGGTACCCTAATCTTGATTCGGGTCCGCAGATTCTACGATTTTCCGGCTCGATCCTGGAATTCTAATTTTGATATCTTTGGAATCTATGATCATTCTGATCCAATCTATATAGGTATATATCATCTGGATCATCTGGATCCTCTGTTTTGAGTTCGCGGGCTCTGAGATCCTTCGACATAAGTCCACGATCCGAGGAATCTCTGACTTTGAATTACAAATTCTAGAAATTACGATTTTATCTTTCTTGACTCCGTGGATATTCAAATCTTGAAGCTAAGTTTTTCAGAATTATCTGACTTGGACGCACGAATTGTTGAAACCTTTGACTTGGATCCATGTAGATTCTAGAACCTGTTGCTTTGGGATCCATTGTCTGAGTCTTTGGACCATTGAATCTTCCCTAGCTTGCGTCTTTGATCTCTTTGGACTTTTTGGCACGAGTCCGTGGATCCTAGGATTCTATAATTTGAGTCTGTGAGAGTTAAGATTTTCTGACATTGATCTCTGCATTCTAGAATTTATTACTGCAAATCCGTGAACCTTAGAATCCATTGCCTGAGTCTTTGGACCATTGAATCTTCCCTAGCTTGCGTCTTTGATCTCTTTGGACTTTTTGGCACGAGTCCATGGATCCTAGGATTCTATAATTTGAGTCTATGGAGATTTTCTGACATTGATCTCTGCATTCTAGAATTTATTACTGCAAATCCGTGAACCTTAGAATCCATTGCCTTGAGTCTTTGGACTCTTGAATGTTCCGTGACATGAGTCCATGAATCAGAAGATCCTCAAGTTCGAGTCTGTGAATGTTACAATTTTCTGACATCTTCGGATTCTAAAATGTGTACTGTGGATCCATGAATCTTGGAATCTATTGAAGTCTTTGAACTCTGGAATCTTCTGTCTATTGTCTTTGGCCTCTCGGATCTGCTCTGCTTTGTGTTTTCGGACTCTTGAACCTTCCGTCCGAAGTTCACGGATCCAGGGACACGTCGACTTCTATGCACCTTTCCCAGAATTCTCCGCCACGATTCCGTGGATCCCAGGATCCTCTGACTCTCGTCTACAAATCTCAGAATAACTCCGGCCCGGATCTACCTCGCCAGAACCTTTCCATTAAAAACGCATTTCCATCTCATTCAGCCTCTCCCCCCTACGAAAAATCCTGAACAAACTAGAATGAACCTAGCCGCGGCCGAAGCACCGAAAAGGAAAGATTCGAGATTAATACTGCAAATGGAGCGACGATTCTACGATCCGGGAAAATTCCGTTCCATTCCACGGGCGAAATCTATGCAAGATTTGAATGGAACCTTTTGGCGTAGTTCCAAAGCGGTTTGCAGTGGTCGATTGTGAAGTGCACAGGCGCTCGGTTTCCAAATAAAATTATCCGGTATACCCCTTCCCAGCCCCTGCACACCCAATTGTCTATACGATTCTGCCTGTTATACCTACTGATCGCAATCGGCTTCTACTCTCCGCCTCGCCGAAATCGTCGGAATTGGAGGATCGAAAATGTTTTCGGTTAAACTGCAATCGGCGGATACGGGGCGCATCGGCATTGTCACGGAACTCGCCCGAGTATCCACTTGGCCCAGATTATTGGTCTTTGAAGGGAGTTCGGCGAAGTTGTCGGTAGCCGGGGCACAAAACTTGTTCCGCGCGGGTTAAGTTAACCTCGCTGGACAATTTCGAGAGAGTTTGCCGATCGATGTGTATCGCCGATAAACGACCGTGGTAAACGAGGACCCGGGCCGCCTCATTTTTCACCGGCGCTTTTAAAATTCTCCGGAGAGAGACGAAGCGTTTCGTCTGCAATATTTTACCTACAAACCCGCGCTCGTAATCGGAGACATTCTGGCAGTGGTTCGTTAGACGATTTTCTGGATAACTTTCTTTCGTCGACTGACAAAAATGAGCCTAGCGGTTTTGCAGTTGAAACGCGGAGCAACGTAATCTTGAAGAAATCGATGAAATTGCGAAATATTGTTCTTCGCCTCTTGATTAATTCGATGCTAAGTTATTCGTAGATTCGTGGCATAAATAATCGAGGTAACTATCGAAAAAGTGCAGAAACATGATCAAGATAAAGCAGCAGCAACGAATAAAAATTGCACGAATAAAGATATAAACTAATTAAGGAAATTCGCAACAATATTTTACCGGTGTTTGACGTCTATACCGGCAGAAATATTGAAATATAATATGCAGGGTGTCCCGAAAATGTCTCGTAATCCGGAAATGGGAGGTTCCTGAGGTCATTTGAAACAACTTTTTCCTTTGCGAAAATTTTCTCCGAGGCTTCGTTTACGAGTCATTAACGAAAAACACTGACCAATAAGAGGCGAGCTCGGCTGGCGCGCGGCGGCCCAGCCAACGAGTGCGCGGAGCCCAGTTCCGCTCCTTGGCTCGGCCGTCTCGCGCCAAATGATCTCGCCTCTGATTGGTCATTGTTTTTCGTTAATAACTCGTAAACGAAGCCGCGGATTGCATTTTCGCTGAGGAAAAAGTTGCTTCGAATCACCTCAGGAATCCCCTACTTTCGGATTGCGAGACATTTTTGGGAGACCCTGTATATCGGTATAATTCCGGTATTGCTGACAAGAGTATGAACTCCAGAGATTGAATCAGAATCGGTATTAAAATTGAAACGTGATTGGATGAAACATAATGGAAATTATGTACATATAATGGATCGAATGACAGACGACGATCAATGTGCCCTAGTGGACGAGACGCCGCGCCGTGCCGCGCGCTCGTCCTTTTCTAGCGTCAGCTTCACGGGCGCTTAGCGAAGCCGGATTTATTGCGTTCTTATTGATTGTGCCTCGCGTAACTCATCGGATTAACAAGTTGCAGGTCCCTGCCGGCTTGCGAGACGTATTAAATCATGTCTCTTACGATCCAACTTTGATGGGATCGTGAAACGAGATTCTCGGCGAGTTACTTAATGCACCAGCCGTCTTTGAGTAAATCTCGTTGCGTGCTATGCATCTTCCAGCCCGACAGTAGGATCCTTTCAGAGTCTACTGCTCCTGCTACTTCAATCAAGTAAATCAACTCTCATTGATTCCGTCGTGACACTTCACGCCTCTGCCCGTTTACTAAATAAATAACCCGTTCGCTGTTGCACCGACTCGAACATTGTCTCCTTCGGCCGAGGTACCGAGCCAGAGGTCTAATTATTCCTGACAATGGTAAAACGACGATAACAACTTTTTCACCGAGGAAACAATGCGTAATGCGTTATTCGTGGAAATCTGGTCGTCGAACGTTTCGGTGCATCCATTTTTCATTCTCAGGAAATTAAAACGAGATCATTTTAGCGAATAAATGTAACGCATTCATCGATGTTTAACAAAACTCCGTCAGCCGTTTTCAAACATACNAGGTCATTTGAAACAACTTTTTCCTTTGCGAAAATTTTCTCCGAGGCTTCGTTTACGAGTCATTAACGAAAAACACTGACCAATAAGAGGCGAGCTCGGCTGGCGCGCGGCGGCCCAGCCAACGAGTGCGCGGAGCCCAGTTCCGCTCCTTGGCTCGGCCGTCTCGCGCCAAATGATCTCGCCTCTGATTGGTCATTGTTTTTCGTTAATAACTCGTAAACGAAGCCGCGGATTGCATTTTCGCTGAGGAAAAAGTTGCTTCGAATCACCTCAGGAATCCCCTACTTTCGGATTGCGAGACATTTTTGGGAGACCCTGTATATCGGTATAATTCCGGTATTGCTGACAAGAGTATGAACTCCAGAGATTGAATCAGAATCGGTATTAAAATTGAAACGTGATTGGATGAAACATAATGGAAATTATGTACATATAATGGATCGAATGACAGACGACGATCAATGTGCCCTAGTGGACGAGACGCCGCGCCGTGCCGCGCGCTCGTCCTTTTCTAGCGTCAGCTTCACGGGCGCTTAGCGAAGCCGGATTTATTGCGTTCTTATTGATTGTGCCTCGCGTAACTCATCGGATTAACAAGTTGCAGGTCCCTGCCGGCTTGCGAGACGTATTAAATCATGTCTCTTACGATCCAACTTTGATGGGATCGTGAAACGAGATTCTCGGCGAGTTACTTAATGCACCAGCCGTCTTTGAGTAAATCTCGTTGCGTGCTATGCATCTTCCAGCCCGACAGTAGGATCCTTTCAGAGTCTACTGCTCCTGCTACTTCAATCAAGTAAATCAACTCTCATTGATTCCGTCGTGACACTTCACGCCTCTGCCCGTTTACTAAATAAATAACCCGTTCGCTGTTGCA